AAACACAGCGAGCCGCGCCGCTCCCTGACCTGGAGCCGCGCCGCTCCCTGACCTGGAGCCGCGCCGCTCCCTGACCTGGAGCCGCGCGGCTCCCCGACCTGGAGCCGCGCCGCTCCCCGACCTGGAGCCGCTCCTTCTGGGACTTCCTGCCGTCTGATTCAGGCGGCTCCTGCAGAAAGCGACTCGCTGATGAAAGGTTCAAAACCTACGCAGATCTATAGTTTCATGTTCTCTAATAGACTCTTATATACAAACACACACCTAAAGGCAGACTGTTAGAGTTTAGACGCTCGGCTTCTTGTTAATATCCTATCTTTATTATTACAACATATATAAATATTTACAGAGTTTATGGTTCTTCTAGACATATTCACAGTTCTGTGTGTCGGTGAACGTCCAGAACAAATAGTGGTTTTGTCAGTTTTAGAGTTCAGGAGTCTCAGTGTTCGTTAGAGTGTTGCATGTTTCTCCTTCCGCCGAGTCGCTTCAGAACTTGGGAGGAAAACGTCAGAATTCGAGCAGCAGGAAGTCTTCGTTGTCGTCGGCCGGCAGCATCAGCTGCTGCTCGTAGTACAGGCTCTTGGCGTAGTTGATCTGCTGGGAGATCTTATAGGCGAGGGTCTCGTTCTTCACTTGGACCTGCGGACGACAGCGGCAGCGTTACGGGCTGCAGGGCCTCCCAACGCGTCACACTCTGCAAAAACTACATCCTGAGTAGAATGACTGTTTCTGACTTTACTATCCTGCCAAGCAGATTCTACTGGAAATATCTTCAAATAAAACTAACTTTTAGGTAAATAATTCCTTAAAAGACATTTCTGAGTGTGAAAATTGACATTTTGGGAATTAAACTTACATTTTCAGAGTTTGAAAAGTCATACATTTGCTAGAAAAAACTCAGAAATCTTGAGATCAAACTTTTCTAGAAAAAGAGTGAAAATTTTCAAAATTAAAACATTGAAATTCACAAATTTCCAAGTTTTTTTTTTCTAAAACATTTCTGAGATTAATCTCACAATTTCTGAATTTTTTCTTGCCAATTTTGACTTTTTGAAACTAATTTAAGTAAAAATTAAGAGATTATTTTACGGTGGAGTAAATATCTGCCAAAAAATCTCAGAAACATTTTCAAAGCTTGAAATGTCAAAGATTTTCTAGAAAAATAATCAGAAATTTTATTTCTAGAACAAAAATTGAAAATGTTCCATTGAAAAAGTAAAAATGTTCAACTTTTGCAGCTCAAAAATTTCAATATATTATTTTTGTTACAAATTTTCAACGTTTGAAATTTACTCCCCTTTGTTTCCATCTCCAGCAGAGCTCATACGCTGTCGAACATTTCATTTATAACCAGACATTTTTCCATATTATAAGTTAAATTATCTGCCAGTGAAGCTAAACTTTTATTAATATTAAGGAAATATTGAATTAAAACAAGCTCCTGCCAGAAGTTACCAGTAAGTTTTATTTTAAGTGTACTGGGATATTTGTAGTGTAAACTAAACCAAACACACTTGGTTAGATTTTGTGTTTTTGCAGTGTAGAGAATCTTCTTCAGGTTGTCAGAGTTTATGGATCTTAAATGTATTTTTGTTTCCTGTGGCTAATTATCCAGGTTTTAATGTAAAATAAGTTCTGATCTGATCTCTGGACCTCTGACCCGTTTCATTAAAGTGTTTTTTAGAGGTTTGTTTTCTCTGCGGTTCTGGTTCTGGTCTCACCATGGGTCTCTGTTGCGAGGGTCCGGGAATGGCCACTCCGCTGGTGGAGTTCTCCGCCTTCTTGGTGAGCTGGACGTAAACTTTCCCATACTCCCTGGAGACCAGGCAGTGGAAGAGGTCGTCGTATTTGACCTCCAGGACGATGCCCTCGCGGTCCACGCTGTCGCCCGGCTTCAGGAAGTAAACCACTTTGGAGGAGATGAGGACGCTGTAGGTATCGATCGGCTCCACCGCCATTAAGCTGCCGGACCAGAACCAGGAAGTGGGTTGGAAACGTGACAGAAGCCGGAGCGATCCGGCTCCGTTTGGGCTGCAGACGGGAAAACTTACAACTCGGAGTGGATGTTGTCGGTGAGGCGGAAGAGCTGCTCCTGACCTTCGGCCTGAGTGGCTGAGAACCGCAGCAGCAGGCCCTGAGGGCCCTTACAGCAGCGCGGCTTCCTGACGCGCTGTACCGGGAGCCTGGACAGGAAGTCACAGTCAGACAAACAGGAAGTAGGGCTGGTGTCAATCATAATGCATACCAGGACTCGCATGTCAGCAATATCAATATATAAAATATTAACTGAACCACACAGCATTCTGGGAGATGTAGGCAGAGGGAAGACTTTAGCAGCTCAACCTCTCAGCTAGCTAAGCTAGCGTGGTGGAACCAACTCACTCACTCTTTGGTTACCTAGCAACAGCGTTGCTAGGTAACTGTCTGTTCACTTCAAATGTTGGTCTAGTTTCCAGGGTAGATAAAATAACTTCTCAGGAAGGAATAAGGGCTGGTTTTATGTCGATAATTTCTTAATATTCATTTAAAAAGTATTAGTTCCACTGGCAGATTATTTAATTAGTACTTTGTCAGAATTTGGACTTTAATGTCCGAATTATTTAGTTAAAATAAGCTCGTATATCTTGCTGAGAAGTTACTTTGGCCTTTTTCCAAGGTATCTGTCCTAGAAACTGGACCAGAAATACTTGGTAGGAGGTTCTGTCTTTGCAGTGTGTTTGTGGACTTGTGGTTCTGGTTCCACCTGCTGCGTCCCGTCTCTCAGGAACCCCACCTGTGGCTGCTGAGGCTGGCGATGTCCCGCACCGTCTGGGCCGTCTCCGAGGCGAAGTCCAACGCCCCGGCGACGGGCTTGGTGACAGTTCCCACCAGACCTTTACCGAGTCCGGAGAAGAAGCCGCTGACGCCGCCCTCCGTCTTCACGCCCTCCACGGTGGAGGTGATGATGCTCGTCATGCCACCGATGATTCCTGCAGGTCGGAGGCGATTCACAGTCATGAACCGGCGGAGCGGCCATGTTGCTGTGACTCAGCGTTCGCTGGCTCACCGTGAGCGAGGCCGTGGATCCCAGCCACCAGATGCTCCCCGCTGGTGGCGCCGCAGTACCGGATGTACTCCCGCTCGCTCTGGTGCCGGTTGTCCATGGTCTTCCCCAGACCGTCCGACAGCGTGCCTGCAAACTGACGGGGAAGACAGACATGACGATCCGGCCCAGTTTGATCCGGGTAACGATCCGATTCTTTTGAATGGTTCTTTACCCTGAACGACAGGACAACGGTCTCTGTTCGTTGTTTGCTCTGCACACCCTGCAGTAGCTATTATTATTCTGTTTAGTTTTAAAAATACATTTATTTAACTGGTGAATAAGTAGTAGAATAGAAAAATTAGTAAGAATGGAGGATAGGGGCTGGATGAGCAAATTCTCAGGAAAAAGTTAAAATTTAATTTCAAAATTTTTTGAATTTTGACATTAAAATTTTATTTTGAGTTTTTGTCAAAGAATTTTGACTTTTTCTCTGATTTTTTTCCTTTTTACTTAGAATATTTAATTTTTTTCAGAATTTTGACTTTCCAAAAGTCTGAATTCTGAGATTAAAGTCAAATTTTATTTCAGTTGTTCAAATTCTCTGCCATTACTATTTGTCATATTTTCCTTTTATTTAGTTTCTATGTAACAAGCTGCATAAAAATGTTATTAATACACACACTTGTAAAAAAAACTATGTGATTTTTGACATTTTGAAATTAAATATTTTATGCAAGTATATAGAAAATTCTTTGTAAAAACACGCTGCGGTTATTTACTTGAAGTATATATATGTTTTTTTTCCTTTTGTGATCTTCACCATAAAAACAGTCGTAATAAAACTGTCATCCATAAACGGGCTTGTTGTCAGAGAAGCGGGTGGTCTGCAGTGACCGGGTCCGGAGACGCGGTACCTTGGCGGCGGAGTTGGAGACGCCGTGCGTGACGTTGAGCAGCATGCCGTGCACGTTGCCGTGCTTGATGAGCTTGGTCATTCCCTCGGAGACGTCGTTCAGGAGGCCCATCGGGTTCCCCAAGAAGTCCACGGAGCCCAGGATCTGCGCCGCCTGGCTCATCAGCTCCTGCAGGGGAGAGACCGCGGCGTGAGGAACCAGAACCGGGGCGTTCGGACAGACCAGCCTGGATGTGTGAACTCTGACCTCTCGGAAGTGCTTGAGGATGTCGTTGATGATGATCTCCTGCGTCTCATAGGGGTGGACTCTGGTAAACGGGTACATGTTGATGACCGCATCCTCGAAGCGGATCAGAGGGAAGCCCAGAGAGCCTTTAAGAACCTGGCAGGAAAAACCCGACATCAGAACCGCCGGCTGCTATCAGAACCACTTTAAAACTGAAATTATACTCAGATTCTTTGGTTCCAACCTGGAAGGAGAAGTTAAAAGAATATTTTATACATATAAATATGAATTTATCCATGACAGAAACAAAAAAGCTAGCTGGCAAGCTACAGCACATTAGCCGCTAGTTAGCGGTAGCCTCCACGGTCACAGAACCAACGAAGATGTACGAGTTTGACTCAAACTTTTGCCTGACAGAAAAATCTCAGAAGAAAAAGAAACCAGATAGATGAGATTAAACTTAAGAGCTCAAGGCTTATTTACATTTTCTTAAATTAAGACATTTTAAGAACGTCCTGAACATGATTAATAAAAAAAGTTATGTTGTAATTTTGCAAACCAAATATAAAAATAAATCAATATAAGTAAACCTTAAATTGACCATAACTTAATGTTTTTATCTTTCAAATAATATTTTAAGATCCAAAATCTGGAAGCAAGTTTTCCTCTTGACACAACATTTTAATTTTCACACTCCAAATTCTTCCAGATGTTTCTGATCCGTCCGGGCCTGAAATCCTCACGGTGAGAAAGCGGACCGGCGTTACCTTCAGGTCCGGCGGCAGCTTGTGGGACGGCAGGACGCTCAGTTTGATCTGAGGCAGGCTGATCTTCAGGTTCTCAAAGTAGTACCGCTTCTGGGGCCCGCTGTCTTCGCTGGGCCGCTCATGCAGGTTCTCATCCAGGTTCTCCAGCCCTGCGTTTCGGCATTCAGTTATTTTCACAGACAGCCTGCTGGCGTAGAGCGACGTGTGAGCAGTGAGAGGCGGGACACCCACCGGCTTCGGCCTTCCCGTAGCCGAAGAAGCTGAGCAGCTTGAGCAGCAGCTTCTCGTCGATGATGACCGTGAAGCGCCGCGCCGTCACCATCAGGTGCTGCCGACACATGGAGCTTAAATCAGCACAGAAACCAGCCGACGCTGCAGCCGAACAGAGCCGCTTTCACACAGACACAGGTCAAAGTTCATCCTGGGTCTGACGTCTACGTGGAGACTGTTTGTGTTTTTGTTACTCAGAAGTTCCATCAATTTACTTTTATTAGTTTAGAACCAACATCAGTAATTATTTTTAATATTTGGAAAGGCTTAGATTACTTTGGCAATGGGAGGTTTTTGTAATTTTTTTTTTTTTTTACCACTTTTTGAACTTGTAACATCAGAGGAACATTCATTTTCAGTTTTCAGTTTTTGTTTTGTCCATATTGTTGCTGGAAACAAACTACATTTTTCAAATGTTTAAAATGTTTTTTTTCTTTATTTTTGTAAGGAAATTTAGATAAATGAGAGAAAAACAACAATAATAATAAATTTATTTATATGAACGCTTTTGCTTTCAGAGGAAAATAAAGATGCAACATAATAATAATGATTTAAAGCTGATAAATTCATTAGCTTTTCTATAATCCACACCAATATGAGAGGGCGTCTATCGTATCATTTATCGTCATGATAAATTCCAGTTATTGGTGGTAAATAAAAACTAAATTGGTAAAATTATCAAAAACGCTTTTTTAAAAATATATTTTCTCAGTTCCACGATGTCAGTAAATTAGAAAATATGATTAAATGCATTTACTGTGTGCAGTTTAGTGGCGTCCTGCAGAAGACAAATGAAATAATTTCCAAGAACAATCTTTGTGTTTGTGGCTTAAAAAATAAGAAACTGTTTTTTATATAATAATCCTCATCATTATCACAATGATACGACACAATATTACAATAAACCTCAAAATCTCTTTTTAACACATTTTTCTCTCCAGTTATTAATCAGCAAATAGTGAAATAATCAACATGTCAGCCTGAACTGCCCTGATGTTCAGCTCAGTTTCTCACATCCTGATGTTAGAAGGATCTTTTCTCTGCAGATGCACCAGAGGACCAAAGAAACACCGACCCGGATGTTAGCGGGTGTGTGTATAGATGTGAGCCAGTGTGAGCGGATCGTACAGGAAATGAACGTAATCCCACCTTGAAGAGCTCGGTGAGCATGAGGCTGCTGGGGACTTTGACCGAGTTGACCTGCAGGGCGGGGCCGTCTTCGATGGCGCCGTCGTCGGCCGTACTGGGAGAGACGCACAGCATCACTGGCTGGGTGGTGCCGAGCAACTGGTTGTCCACCTGACGGCAACACAGAGACGGTTAATACGCCTGCCTGCGTCAAAACTAACATTATTTAAACTTATTAAACCCCACGCTCCCGGTGCCTGGGGCAAATTTTAACTTTATTTTTCTTTTTAACCTCCATTTCTGCCCCTCCCTTCAGTTAAACATCTAGGCAGATTTGGTTTCCATGGAAACGTCAAACTCTTGGCTAGAAGCTGATAAAAGGATTTGAGTTCATCCCCACGTCGGTGACCAGAAACCTTCACCAGAGAGACATTGTACGGAGCTCCAATAATGCAAAAAAAAAAAAAAAAAAGCACATATTTTGGGGGCTTTAATTTGTTTTTCAGTAAAATGATCCCCAATTTTTTAAAACTCAATTTCCAAAAAATACACTTGAATTGGAGTTGAATATAACAGTTTATTATGGTTACCTGGATGTTCTGGATGCTCAGCTCCAGGACTTCGGTGGCTGCTGTGTGCGTGAAGTGAACGTTCACACCAGAGAGCGTCGCGAAAATGAGCTCCTCAGGAAGCTTGTTGACCAGAGAGACGCCCAGACCGTCCTCCAGGTTAACCAGCACCTGACCGGAGACACAGAGGCAGCGTCAGAAAACGGAGCTACCCGCCGTATCAGGGCCGTTACAGACGGAGCAAAAGGAGAAAAGCTTCCGCCAGAAAACACAGGCATGTTCAGATTGACCTCAGGAAACTTTAGAAAGACTAATTACATTTCTAAACCCAAACGTGAAATCTTTGTGACAAAAAACTCTGAAATTTTGAGATTAATCACAGAAATTTCAAGAAAAACATGAAAATGTCTAAGCCCCCAAATTCTTTTTTGAAACTTTGACATTTTCAAAATAATCTCTGAAATTTTCTAGAAAAAAAAAACTTGGAAACTTTCTGACATTTTCTGAGTTTCAAAAGTTAAAAATTTTCAACTTCTGGAGCTCAAACTTCCAAATTTTTTTCTAGAAAATTCCTGGGAATAATCTCACAATTTTTTATTTTTTTCTTGCAAATCTTCAACTTTTCAAACTCAGAAGTGTTTTTTTTTCTAGAAAATTTCAGAGATCAATCTGAGGCTTTCTGCAGGAACCCAGCCGGCCTGCAGCAGATGCAAAGCTTGCTGCACCTCCAGCTCCTGCTCAGGCTCCGGCTTCTCCTCTTCTTCTTTGCTGACTTCCTTGTCTTCGCTGGAGGAGCTCCACAGTGCCCTCCTCTGGCTGAAGTCACTGATCTGAAAACAGGAGCATGTTGCTCAGAGGCACAGCGGCAGCAGAACAAAGAGCTAGCAGCCGTTAGCACAGAAACTAGGGAAGTTATCGATTAATGAGTTAATCTAAAGTTGATTGATCTTATTGAATAGTTCATAAGCTGCCATTTTCTTGAAAACCTCAGTTATACATTCATATAT